CACTCACACTCACTCACTCACACTCACTCACTCACACTCACTCACACTCACACTCACTCACACACGATGCTGTGAAGACTGAACAGACCTGCTGTGTGTGTCGGTGTGAGCTGAATCCCGCCAGGATCACTCCTCGCTCTCGTCTGCTGGAGAAGCTGCTCATGATCTCCGCCTGAAGAGTCAAGAGGACGGCAGGCATCTCCAGAAAACCTCCGCCGAACACCGACACGCTGCGGATCGGCTGCAAACACAGCAGAAAATCCTCCAAATCAGAAACTTCAAGAGAAGAAATACTCCTTCAATTATAATTAATAACTTTCCTGGAGATCACAGAACTTTATATGTCTATGTTTGTATTAAAAGATAAGGGTCAAAGAATATAATAATTAAGGGAGTTTAAAATAATCTTTAGTAATAATCTATCAAAAAATATTAATATTCTATCTTTTAATATAAAATTATTATAGTAATAATATGTTATATTGATAAGATTTTAGTTTTAGATATTATATATTTTATTCAAATGATTATAGCAATAATGTTAAATGATAATATTTTAATATTTTAGAGCTTTAGATATATATTTTTTTATCTAAAATTACCATATTGATAATATGTTATATTGACACTATTTTAGAGATTTAAACAAAGAAAATGAAAGGGGTTCAAACTTAAATAAGGGGCTTTAAAATAATCTTTAGTAATGATAAATATAAATACTGTATATTAATATTATAAATATAGTATTAATATTTATATTAATCAAAATATTGTATTTTTTGTTTAACTTACTATTTCAGTGTCCTTTGTTTTATAGCACAATAACAAATGAAAAGCAATAAAAAATACTGTACTTTTCACATACACTTCAGTACTGTAAACAATAATTGTGATTTAATGAGTGAACTGATTCATTTAATCAACTAATTACAGCTGAAGACAAACACCTTCAGATTTGTTTGTTTTGCAGTTCAACAGACACAAGAATCCATTAAATACACAAATGCCAGAAAACCCACACAATTTTACATTTTTATTAATTAATTTTCAGTGAGTGTTTTATTTTGAAGTGCTTTACTTTTAAAATGATTTATTTTAATTGTATATTTTAAACATTTAATTCATTTTAACAAGTGGTTTGATTCTTTTTATTTCAAAATTATTTTAAATTATTTTAATTTTACATTTTTTACCTCTTAATTTTCTTTTATTTTAATTGTACATTTTTAGTGTTTTATTTTTTTGTGTTTTATTTCAATGATTTTAATTTGACATTTTTTACCTCTTAATTAATTTTCTTTTATTTTAATTGTAAATTTTTGAAGTGCTTTACTTTTAAAAATTATTTTAATTTTATATTTTAAACATTTCATTCATTTTAGCAAGTGGTTTGATTCTTTTTATTTCAAAATGATTTGTTTATTTCAACTTTACATTTTTACCATTTAATATATTTTTATTAAGTGTTTTATTTTGAAGCGTTTAACTTTTAAAATTATTTTTATTTTAATTGAACATTTTTTGTGTTTTATTTAAGCATTTTATTTTTTTTGTGTTTTATCTAAATGATTTTAATTTTACATTTTTACCTCTTAATTAGTTTTTTATTTTATTTTAATTGAACATTTTAGTGTTTTATTTAAATTATTTTAATTTTACATTTTTACCTCTTAAATTGTTTTCTTTTTTTTAAATTGCACATTTTTTATGATTAAATTCTTAAATTTTCATGTGAAGCTGTACCTTGAGGACGCAGCCTTTCTTCACGCCATACGACTCTCTGAGCAGGTCGAAGTTTGTGCGAGCGATTTCCACATTCTTCATACAGCCGACGAAAAAGCGAGCCACAACCTGCCTCCTGCAACCGTGCACAAGGAAGTCGCATATAAGACAAAAATGACTCTTGAGTCTTTAGGAATTACTTGCAACCGTGCACAAGAAAATCACATGTAAGACAAAAAAATTCCAAAGCAATGTAACACACATATCTTCTGAGAGTTTGCTCTCACCTGATTGGTCGAGAGGCCGGTAATCCACCGATGTAGATGGGGTCGAGGTCAGAGCGATTGAGGTCAGAGGCCGAACCCGGTGACTCCGCCTCCATGACCTCTCGCTCTGAGGGTTTATCAGCGGCCATGACCGACAAATGACCTGCAGACACAACACACAGCACTTCCTGTGAGCTTAAACCTCATAAGAAACCTACCAGATGTAATGGATAAGAGAGCAGAGCGGCACCTCGGCGCTTGTTCCTCTGCAGGGCGATTCTGTACCAGGTGCCGGTGTTGTATGTTCTGCTGGAGGTCAAGATCAGTGCTCCGGAGCCCAGTTCAAAGGTCAAGTGAACCTTCCCTTCCACCAGCTCGATGGACAGGAAGTCTCTCTACAAACGCGCATGAGAAGAGACTGCTTGATTTCATTAAAAAAAGCCTCTAATACTAGCTTTCTCTATTCTATTCTTCTTTTTATTTATTATATAATTAACAAAAAAACAACTTTTTTCCCTAACTGCTTGCTTTCTTTAAAACGGCCTCTAACACTAGCTTTCTCTATTCTTATTCTATTCTTTTATTTATTATATAATTATTAATATAATTGGGCTAACTGAGACTTGTTATAGCACTTATTTTGATTGCTTCTACTGTCCTCATTTGTAAGCTGCTTTGTATAAAAGCGTCTGCTAAATGACTAAATGTAAATGTAATGTAAATGAGTGAGATGCTTGTGAGGAGTGTGAGGAGGTGAGAAGTGAATGTACCGTGCCGTTGGAGGCCAGATACAGCAGCAGGCCGTTTGGAGACAGAGTCTTGAAGAACATGACCACGCTGGTGGACATGGAGCGCAGGGACTTCTCCAGCACAGAGAAACCGCTGCCGTCGAAGTGGAACGACGTGTCTTCAGTGCGCGGACTGATGGACGAGAAACACACAGGACAGGAAGAGCGTCAGTGACTGTTTCCACCTGTATTTACCGCTCATCAAAAACACATCTGAACACTAGCTGGAAACAGGGCTGGTGGTTGCTAGGTGTCATAGATGGTTGCTAGGGTGTTGCTAGGCAGCTGCGGGACCTAGGCAGTTATGGCATTTTCAGTGGTTGCTAGGTGTCATAGATGGTTGCTAGGGCATTGTTAAGTGGTTGCTAAGCTGAGGTGGGACCTAAGCAGTTGTTATGGTGTTTTCAGTGGTTGCTAGGTATTACAGATGGTTGCTAGGGTGTTGCGGGACCTAGGCAGTTATGGCATTTTCAGTGGTTGTTAGGTGTCATAGATGGTTGCTAGGGCATTGCTAATGGTTGCTAGGGTGTTGTGGGACCTAGGCAGTTGTTAAGGTGTTTTCAGTGTTTTCTAGGTGTCACAGATGGTTGCTAGGGCATTGCTAAGTGGTTGTTAGGGTGTGTTGGGTGGTTGCTAGGGTGTTGTGGGACCTAGGCAGTTCCATGGTGTTTTCTGTGGTTGTTAGATATCACAGATGGTTGCTAGGGCATTGCTAAGTGGTTGCTAGGGTGTTCTGGGCGGTTATTAGGCAGTTGCTAGGTGTCAAACAGTTGCTAGGGTGTTCTGTGGGTTGCTAGTTTGTCACTAGGCAGTTGTTAGGGTGTTGTTTTGTGGTTCCCAGGCAGTTGTTATGGTGTTTTCAGTGGTTGCTAGGGTGTTTTGGGTGGTTACTAGGCAGTTGCTAGGGCATTACTATGTATTTTCTAGGGTGTTGCTAGGATTTTGCTAGTGTTTTCAGTAGTTTCTAGACAGCGGTGTCATAGTTACTAGAACATTGCTATATAGCTGTTAGAGTGGTCTGGGTTGTTGCTTTGGTGTCACTAGGAAGTTGCTATGGTGTTTTCAGTGGTTGCTGCTGGTGCTAGTTGTCTTAGATGGTTGCTAGGGCATTGCTATGTGGTTGGTAGGTTGTTTTGGGTGGTTGCTAGGGTGTCGCTAGGCAGCTTCTAGAGAGTTTTCAGTGTCTGCAAGGCAACATAGGTGTTGCTAGGTAGTTGTTATGGTATCTTTATGTTTCTATACGGTTGCTAGGCTGAACTGGATGGTTGCTAGGGTGTTGCTAGGCAGTTTCTAGAGTGTTTTCAGTGTCTGCAAGGCAACACAGATGGTTTCTACAGCGTTGCTAGGTAGTTGCTATGGTATCTTTATGTCTCTATATGGTTGCTAGGCTGAACTGGATGGTCGCTAGGGTGTTGCTAGGCAGTTTCTAGAGTGTTTTCAGTGTCTGCAAGGCAACACAGATGGTTGCTAGGGCATTGCGAGGTAGTTGCTATGGTCTCTATATGGTTGCTAGGTTGAACTGGATGGTTGCTAGGGTTTTTCTAGGCAGTTGCTATGGTATCTTTATGTCTCTATACAGTTGCTAGGCTGCACTGGATGGTTGCTAGGGTGGGTGAACGGTGTGTTTTACCTCATGAAGCAGCCGCCGCACTCTCCCTGTCTCTCAGCGTAGTTCCACAAGCCGATGTTGTTCTCGTTGAGTGACGCTTCGCTCATGCAGCCTCTGAAGTGGGTCATTCTCACCGCTGGGGGTTTCTGGGAAAAACACAACAGATGTAAACAGGGCCAAATACAGAGGAACAGCAGCTGGATCTTCACCTCACCTTCACCTGAGCACCGAGGCCCCCGACGAACACCCAGGTGGATCTGCTGACGTCCATCACGGTGGAGGACCCAGACGCTGTGGTCTTCACTGCAGGCAGCGGCTCGGAGTCCGTCTGCTGGATGGTGAGGGTCCCGTGTCTCCCGAACCTGCGGCACAATCACAGGAGAACCGGACGTCAGAGTCTGTCATTCAAAGAGAAGAACCGAAACATCCCATCAGCACTGAGAGTCACGAACCGCGTCGCGTTGATCCTGTGCCACCGGTCGTTGTTGATCTGAACGTCAGGATACTCCAGTCTGGTGAGTCCAGAGCCAGAGTCCCACAGGAAGGACACCTTCCCATGATGCATCTCCAGAGCCATAAAATCCTCCTGATGTGGATATAAACACATTGAAATACACATACAATCACACTGCATGCATAAAAAAAAATAATAATTCTCAGTTCCAATGACTGAAACAAGTTGAATCTGTAAAATTATTAACTGGAAATAAATAAAAACTATATAAATGTTTATAAAATAAAAATAAATTAAACAAATTACAAAGATTTAGATTACAAAAAACTAATAAAAATGACAAAAAGCACACAAAATTACTAAAACCTAAACTAAAATTAAAGTGAAAACTGAAAATATAAAAATAAAAGCCAATTCAAAATATTAATAAAAATTATCATAATTCTATATAACAATATATAAATAATACTTCAAAATGAATCACTGAAATAAAGTGGAAATAACTAAAAAAAATTAATAAAAACTATATAGAAATATATTAAAAAAAAAGTAACAAAAATGACTTTATTTAAGTTAAAGATTAATAAGTAAAATTATTAACTGGAAATAAATAAAAACTAAACCAAATAGAACCAAAACTAGATCTAAAATGGAAAGAAAGTACTTCAAATTATTAATAAAAACTATAATAGTATTTTAATATATTGTTATATAGTATTATTATAGTTATTTTTATAAACATGTATCACTAAAATGAATAACAGGAAATAAATAAACTACAACTGAACTAAAAATAATTTACACCTAAATAATGATATTACAAAACAATAAAGGAACATTTTTAAAAAATACAAATGACAAAAGTACATAACAAAATTACTAAAACAAACAAAAATTAAAACTGAAAATATAAAAATTCAAAATATTAATAAAAACAGTAATAGTATATAAATAATACTTAAGTTTAAGATGAATCACTGAAATTATTAAATGTTTAAATAAAAATGTTGAAATTAATTAAATAATAATTTACACCTAAATAATGATATAAAAAAAGAAAAATTTATACAAATGACAAAGCACAAAACAAACTTACTAAATCTTAAAATAAAACCAACATGAAACCTGAAAATATAAGCTCTTTAAAAATACTAATAAAAACTATAATAGTATTTTAATATATTGTTATATAGTATTATTAAAGTTTTTATTTTTATAAACATGTATCACTAAAATTAATAACAGGAAATAAATAACTCAAACTGAACTAAAAATTATTTACTAAAGTTTAATTAAATAATACTAAAGTTTAAGATGAATCACTGAAATTATTAAATGTTTAAAACAAAAAATGGGAAAAAACTAACAAAAATACTGATAAGATAATAATGATACGAATTCTACTAATAAGAACAATATAAAACGCATGAAGGATTAATGACCTGCTGGATTCATGAATATTAATCAAGTTGTGTGCGTTCGCTCGAACTGATTTGCTGAAATCAAAACAGGGACGATAATAGATGAGCGCCAGCCAATGAGATTGTCGTTTGCACATTAGCCCCGCCCACTACCGGAGAAAGCGACAGTTCTTAAAAGCTGAAGAATTCCAAAGGAACGCCGTTATTTTGACAGCAAAATACAACAAAGAATATCGTTTACATGTAGCGCGTCAATTCTCTCTCGCTGCGTGTGTGAGACAAAGCGACGGCGAGTCGTGATTTACTCTCAATGTAGAGGGTTGAATAATGATATTAAAAAATAAAGAAAAATGAATACAAATGACAAAAGCACATAAACTTACTAAATCTTAAATTAAAACCAACATGAAACCTGAAAATGTAAGCTCTTTAAAAATATGAATAAAAGCTATAATAGTATATGAATAATACTAAAATAAGACGGTGTACAGCTCAGGTCATGTGATCTGACTCACGCTGGCGCTGCTGCCCATGTAGAAGAGCAGGCTGTCCGGTTCGCTGGTCTTCATGGTCAGCGTGAGTGTGTTGAAGTTACTGGAGCTCACCTCTGGTCTGTACGCTCGCACGCAATCCTTATCCGCAGAAACAGCCACTTTAATCTGCAGAGGTCCGAGCACAATAGGGCTGTCAAAATGTCTGAAAAACTAAATTCGAATTTTTTACTTGAATATTATCAATATTCAAATTATATTTGAATTTAAAAGGCATAATTTCAGTTAGGGGAGGAAAAAAATTTTTGGCTTCTCTCCTGAGGCCACAAGAGGGCGCATCGAGCAAAATATTACTAATGCACGTTAGGGCTGTCAAAAAAATATTCGAATTTCGAATTTTCGTCGAATTTAAGATAATAATCCACATTCGAATGTAAAAACGTTTAGGTGTGCGTCAGGCTGCCTTATCAGCGGCGCACGAGATGCGATGACGATTTATGTGTCGTTGCATTTTAATGCTTTTGTAAGTCTACCCAGTTGAAGCCACTAGATGCAGCGCTGCTGCGTTGTTCATTCAAAATATTGCAGAAAAAGAGAACAATCAATGCAGAGATTATGTTGTTTACGTCAAAACCGAAACCAAGCCGTTCACACAGAACACATATTTATCCCATTTTCTAGAGGGACATCTATCAGCGTTGCACTCGCGTCTCGCACAAGAGAGCCGCATGTTTAGAAAGCCATGTAAAATTAATGTTAGTTCAACTTTGAAAAAAACACGTCTCGAGACTTTATGGCCTAACGTGCATTAGTAATATTTTGCTCGATGCGCCCTCTTGTGGCCTCAGGAGAGAAGCCAAAAATTTTTTTCCTCCCCTAACTGAAATTATGCCTTTTAAATTCAAATATAATTTGAATATTGATAATATTCAAGTAAAAAATGTAATTTAGTTTTTCAGCCATTTTGACAGCCTAATGCACGTTTCTTCAAAGCATAATAAAATAACACGACTATCTTTGAATAAAGTGCATAATGTTTAAAATAATGTTTATAAACCTTATATGTAAACATGCGGCTCTCGTGCGAGACGCGAGTGCAACGCTGTTAGACGTCCCTCTAGAAAATGTGATAAATATGTGTTCTGTGTGAACGGCTTGGTTTCGGTTTTGATGTAAACAACATCTTCTCTGCATTGATTGTTCTCTACAAACGCAGCAGCGCCGCATCTAGTGGCTTCAACTGGATAGACTAACAAAAGGATTAAAATGAAACAATACGCATAGTGGCTTCAACTGGATAAGGTAACAAAAACATTATAACACACTTACATCGTCATCTCGTGCGCCACTGATAAGGCTGCCTCCTTAACGCACAACTAAAGTTCAAATGCAACGTTTTTGCATTCGAATGTGGATTATTTTAAATTCGACGAATATTCGAAATTCGATTTTTTTTTGACAGCCCTAGAGCAAATGCGTGAGAGTGCGGTTTATACTGCTGTGTGTCACGTGACGGCAGACTCACCGACGCCGCCTGCTTGCGAGCCTGATGGATCAGCTCTTTGATCTGCGACAGGTTTCTGCTCAGGTTCTCTCCCAGCGTCTGCAGGGGCTTCAGACGGTCGAACAGACGCTCGGTCTTCAGGTGAGCCTCGCTCAGTCTGGATCTGGCTGCGCTGGCTGAGGATGAGACGAGTGTCAGCAGCTCATACGGATCTCACGTGAAGAGAGAGTGCAGTGAAGTCACTCACCAGTCTCCTCTGAGTCTCTGACTAGCTGGTTAGTGCTCCTGATGCTGTTATTAGCCGAGCCCACCGCAGAAGATGACTCTTGCAGCTTCACACGATAATCCTCCAGACGCTCCAGAGCTTCCTGTAAAGATGCATTCGCTGCTTCCTGCTGCTGCTTCGCCTTCAGGACTTCAGCTCTGCTGCCTGAGAAACAGACAGAATGATTCATTTAACCATTGTGCATCAATTTAAAAAAAAGTTACTCAGAGGTACTTAGAGGACAAAAACATCTAAGGCTGGGGATCATTAGTTGAGATTATTTTTCCTTGAGAAAATTTGGAATGTACTGTACCTGATATATATCCAAAATAATCCATATTGAATCGGTAATCAAATCGAATCACAAGCTTGTGAATGAGAATCGAATCGAATCGTGAAATTTGTGTCAAAACATAAAATATATGTTATATATATATATATAAAAAAATTCTGCTTTCAATAATATAGTTTTGTTTTTCTTTTTTACCAACATCAGCCCTGATCATAAATACCAAAAAAAAGTCTGTAGTAATCCAAAAAAATCTGCTTATTTAATATATGGAGAATATATATATATATATATATTCTCCATATATTAAACGATAAGCAGATTTTTTTGGATTATTACAGTCTTGCATATGTCAATGAGTAGAAACAACATTAATTATGATGCATCATTATTTTTTGTGCAGTGTCCGATTTAAAAAAATTTATAAAAATGGTGCCAACATGATAAAAATAAAAAAAGTATTACTACTAATAATAATAAAAACAGTAAAACGTTTTTAAAAATTAATAATAAAAAAAAAAATTTCATTTAAAAATAGCAATAATTTCTAAGCACTGCCATCAGAATGAAAGCCTATTAACAAAGAATGCACTGTGATTAAATATTTTAAATGTGTTTCAATGGAGACATTTTTGGTACTGAGTCTTGTGTGTAACTTTTTTTTTGTGCCTAGTGTAAAATACATTTTTGAAAGCAAATGAGTGTGAAATATATATAAAAATAGGCTAAATGTATGCTGTTTGCATTAACACAGCCAAAATTATCCAGAAAATTAAAAAGGTTTACTGCACCATTAGGGAGGTTTCTCAGGATGTTCAGGGCTTCTGGGAGCAGCTGTGTGACGTTCTGAACGCTCGCTCTAACCAGACTCAACCTGCTGGTCACTTCACTGGCGCTAAACACCAGCCCTGAAACACAGACAGGAATGAGATGATCCTCTGTATGAATGATCTCAGGTGTTAGTGCTGTGTGTGTGTGTTCACCTTCTGTGTGGTTCTTCAGGGATCCGCTGGTGTCCAGAATCTCTGAGCTCTTCTGAAGCGCTGTCTTCCTCTGCTCAGTCAGCGAGCGCTCGGACTCAGACGTCTGACACAAAACACACACAGCAGCATCACTAAACAGTGTTTTTTAATATCATACCGAATTCTGAATATCTGATGATGTGTATCATTTTGTTTTTGGTCAGCCGAACCCCTTAGATGTGAAACATTCTCTTGAAGTTCCCCCAAGATTTTACATTAATTTTATAATTATTTAGCAACACATTGTCACATGACATGCAAGTAAACAGATAAAATATCTAATCTTTTTTTCTTTAGTTTTTATTATTTGTTACATTGTTTAAAAAAATATCTTTTTTTTTTTTAAGTTTGGGATCAGCAAGATTTTTGATATTTTTTAAAGATGTATCTTTTGCTTATCAAGGCTGCATTTATTTGATCAAAAATAGAGAAAAAACTAATATTGAGAAATATTATTACAGTTTAAAACAGCTTTTCTATGTGAATCTCTGTTAAACTGTAATGTATTTCTGTGATGCGCAGCTGTATTTTCAGCATCATTACTCCAGTCTTCAGTGTCACATGATCTTCAGAAACATTTCTGATTATTATCAATGTTGGAAACAGTTGTGCTTCTGAATTAAAAAAAAAAAATTGTGATAATTTTTTCAGGATTCTTTTATGATTAAAAAGTTAAAAAGAACAGCCTTTATTCAAAATAGAAATCTTTTCTAACAATATAAGTCTTTACTGACACTTTTTATCAATTTGGCACATCCTTGCTGAATAACAGCAATATATCAATTTCTTAAAAAAAAATAAAAAAAAAATAAAAAAAGACTGATCCCAAACTTTTGAACGGCAGTGTAAATAATAATAATAATAATAATAATAATTTATGATAATCAATTAACAACATGTCATTCTTATATAAAATAATTAAAAACAGCAATACAGTGCTCCTTTATGCTCCTTTACGCTTAAGGAAGATTAAGGAAAACAGTCTGACACCATGGTATAATGAGGAAAATGGAGCACAGCTGGAGGAAAACAAAACTTAGAGGTATTTCGTATTGCTTGGCGGGAAAGTAACCTATCCTACAGAAAAGCATTAAAAACTGCTAGATAATCGATTTTCAACCGGCTCGCGGTTAATCGTTACATCCCTACTCACAGGTGACCGATTTTGATCTCAAAACGGTGAGTTGTCACTGAAAGGTTGCATCTATGTTTGACTCATGCAGGTCCTGTGACTGACCTTGACCTCTCTGGTCTGGTTCTCCAGGGTCATCAGCTGACTGTAGGGAGCGAGAACGACCCCCGACAGGTTCAGAGACGCGATGGACTCGTCTAAAGTGTCCAGATCGTCCAGCAGCGCTCCGATGCACTCGTCATCACACGCTGCAGGACACCAGATGAGCCGAATGATGACACTGATTTTACTGAACCGAACTCATCTGAATAATGACTCTCTTGTCTTCTGTTGAGCTGCTTTACAACATTAACAACAGAAGAGCCTGAAATTTTCTTCTAAAATGAGCAGTTTTCCTCAGGCTCCTGTATTTATGTTCAGTAATTTCACTTTAATGGCAATGAAAAGAACCTATTGAACCTACACATGAGAGCCTGAGACAAATGCTTGTTTTAGAAGAACATTTTAGGCACTACTGAACACTACTGTTATTTTCCCGTTTATCTCTGTGAAGCTGCTTTGAATCAATCTGTAAAGTGCTTTATAGCATTTAAAATAGTATACATTTTATTTATATATTTTTTTGATATTTTGTTTTATTATAATCTGTTATGTTCTAGTATTATTTATATACTATTATATTACTAACTAATATTTTGAATTATCTTTTATTTTTATATTTTCAGTTTAAGTTTTTTTTTTATTTTTATACTTCTAAGTTGATGTCTTTTTTCCATCTAATATTTATTTATATTTTATATACTTTGAAAGGGTTTTGTTATTTTGGTAAAAAAATTATTTTTTCATGTCAAGGTTGACATTTGCATGGAATTGCTCATATTATTCTTTGAGATTTCACTGACATTTGACGTGTGGATACTCACCATTTATTTCAATTAATGAAAATAATAATAATAAAAATTTTTGTTTAGTTGTACTTAATAACAACACTGTTTTTAGGTGCATTTCCTTTTGAGACAAGTGTATATAACAAAAAATAAAACAAAATAAATGTTTACGCAGTGTTATTTTAGTATTATTTATATACTACTAAAGTATTAATTAATAATTTGCTTTTATTTTCAGATTTGACATTATATAACTGTCAATATAATATATAATATTTTGAATTAGCTTTTATTTTTATATTTTCAGTTAAAGTTTTCATTATTTCATATTTTTAGGTTTAAGTTTTTCTGGCTAATATTTATATTTTGGTTTTATTTCAAATAATGAAAATTGTTTTTAATACTTTTTGTTTTAGTTAACAAAAACAACACTAGTTTTTAGGTAATAAAACCTGTCTGTAATAAAATAAAAAAATCTGTTTAGGCGGTGTTACTTTAGTATTATTTAGTATTATCTGTATTTATTAATCTGAATAACGACAGTCTTCTGTAGAGCTGAAATTAAATGTTTCATAACTGATTCATTTTACAACATTAACGCTATCTTCCTGTTTATTACTGTGAAGCTACTTTGAAACAATCTGTAAAGCATTATATAATATTCATCAATATTAAAAGTTTTGCTATTTTACATTTTTAAGTTTGAGTTTTTCCATCTAATATTTATATTTTATTTCAGCTGATTTTTTAATAGTTTCAGTTCACAATAAGAATACTGGTTTTGAGAAAAATAAACTAAAATAAATCTGTTGAGGCAGTGTTATTTTAGCATTGTTTATTTACTATTATAGTATTTATTAATCCTGTATTTATTAATCTGAATAATGACGCTATTGTCTTTATTTAATGAAGCTATTATTTGAATTTGTTTCATAATTGATACATTTTGCAACATGATTACTGTTATTTCCCGTTTATTTTTGCTTTGAATCAGTGTGTTTGTATAGAGCGCTGTTACTCACACACACACTGCTCGCTGACCAGCACGTGTCTCTCCTCGCACTGGTCACACAGATGACCTCTGACCCCGGGCTTACACTCGCAGCTCCCGGTGCGTCCGTCACAGACGCCGTGCACTGACCCCGCCCCGCTGCACTGACACACCTGGCACTGCCCACCTGCCTCAGACGGGTTACCATAGAAACCCACCGAACACCTGTGGGACACGGAAGAGAGCGTCAGCGCACGAGTGTGTGTGTGTGACAGAGTGTGTGAGTGTGTGTGAGTGAGAGAGAGTGAGTGAGTGAGTGTGTGTGACAGAGTGTGTGAGTGTGTGTGTGTGACAGAGTGAGTGAGTGAGTGTGTGTGTGTGACAGAGTGTGTGAGTGTGTGTGAGTGAGAGAGAGTGAGTGAGTGTGTGTGTGACAGAGTGTGTGAGTGTGTGTGTGTGTGTGTGTGTGTGTGTGTGTG